GGAAGGAGCTCTGGTGGTGTGGTAGTTAAAGCAACTGACTGCTACCCGAAAGGTGCGTGGTTTGAAACCACCAGCAGCTCTGCGGGAGAAAGATGTGGCAGTCTGCTTCCACAGAGATTTACAGCCTTGGAAACCCTATGGGGTTGCTATGAGTTAGAATCAACTTGACGGCACTGGGTTTGATTTTTTTTTGGTTCTGCTTTGAGGAGGCAGCTCCTCCTGTCATATTTTGAGTGACTTCCAACTTGAGGGACTCATCTTCCGGCACTCTATCAGACAACGTTCTGCTGCTATCATATGGTTTTTACTGGCCAATTTTTTCAGAAGTAGACCACCAGGTCCTTATTCCTAGCCTGTCTTAGTCTGGAAGCTCTGCTGAAACCCGTCCACCATTGGTGACCCTGCTGGTATTTGAAATATCAGTGGCATAGCTTTCAGCATCACAGCAACACACAAGCCACCACTGTACGACAAACTGACAGATGCGTGGTGGTTGCTCTTGATATCCTGACATTTTACCCGGTTCCTTTCTGGGATTTTGCCTTTTCCTTGACTTTAAGTTGGCTGTGAATTCCATTCTGCTCCTATCCAGAAAAACATTGAAGACTGAGTTGACTTTCACCCCTGGGGAGGAGGAGGATCATAGAGAAAGTGGCAGGGCAAAGAGAAGACAGCAACCAGACAACACAGAAGCAGGGGGAGATAATAGCTTCTACCCAGGCATAGCTGAGATAGAACACAGATAGTACTCATCAACATTGGTCCTGCTTAACCCAGTCATAATATCCCAAACACCCTCACAGTTACAGTTTCTCCTCTTCTCAGCACCTCAATCCCGTACACGTAATCAGACATGAAAGTAGCTGAGTTATCTTAAAAATCTATCCAGATGCTTGGTTCCTCCTTTGTTCCCATTCCCTGATGGATGGCCACTAGATACCAACACCAACCTAGGCTAAAATTTATTTTCTCTTTAAAGTTGCTTGATTGCAGAGCGCAGAAAAGACAATGTTTTACTAGATGATATAACATGAAACAGAGATTAGGTTGGTGATGTCACAAAGGAGGTTTTCAACAGTGTCAGCAGAGGCTACAATGATGACTAAGCAAGTTAACTGCACCATCTTAAACGGCAACTCACCCTGGATAAGCAGATGGAGAATATTAGTTACAGGTAGGACTAATTCCTTTATGGGAAATACCATCATAATGAAAATGTTTCATTCTAGATTACAGAATCCCAGGTACTGGCTCACTTAGGTCAAGAAAAATTACAAACAGAATTATAAGAAAAAAAAAGGTAATAGAAGGGAGCCTCATTCCTTGGTTGGAGGGCACTGCAATTAGTTTAGACCTCTGTATTAAAATAAATACAACCAAGAGTATCAGTCACACTAGGTCCCCATTCTTCTCCTTCACTACCATTTCCAGGGCCATAAATGGACTAGTGGGACTTGGCCCAAATGACCACAGGAAGCAAGAACGGATGGCACAGGGGAGCCCATCTTCAGGCTAACTGGCATCTGCCTGGAGACAGACACCCCACTCCCTAGCAGGCTCAGGCCTCCCTGGAGATTCCAATCCGTTGTTAACTGGGTGCAAAGGAAAAGGAAATAAATTCCAGTTCTGAAAGGGCAGCTGCCTGAAAGGGGCTGGGTCTCTCAAACTCGGAATTACATCCCAAAGCAGCCTGAAGGCCAAACATACTCCCTGTTTGAGCCAAAGAAAAGCCCCTCTCCCCTTCTTATAACCAGGCTGGAAAACACAGCTCCCAGAAGGTGGTGTTAGAAACCAAGAGCTTGATTGTCGACGCCCTGTTGTCCCTGGAGTAAGTGGGAGGGGAAAAAAAGGGCTTTAACACCTGGGAGGCTCCCAAGACCAGTCCCTCCTCCTTCAGCTTTATCAAGGGCAGGGAACACACCTCCCGTCCCGGATCTCTGGGGCGGAGGAGTAAATATTTCTAGTTATTCAATTCACTCGGTGCGCAAATATTTATTTGGTGGGTGCCGGGCACTAACCTAAGTGGTTTACATCCTCCCCTTAATTCTCAAATAGTCCTGAGATTTGTGTGACCCCTTGTTTTCTTCTGTACAAAGGGCGGCAAAGGAGGCGCAGAAACAGCAATTACCCAGTTAGCGGCGGGATCACAGCCCGGGTCGCTAATTCCCAAGCCGTGGCTCCCGGGCCGTCAGCCCGTGAGTCGGGAGCGGGCACTCGCGTAACTCACGCGTGCTCCACGCGGGGCCCTGCATCCTCGCAGCCCTGCCGGGCGCGCGGCAGGTGCGCGGGAAGCCTCGGGGGTCCCGCGCCCCGCAGCTGCCGGGCAGGACGCACCGCCTCCGCCGGAGCCCGAGCCTGGCAAGCGTTCGGGCGAAGAGGAGGAGCCAGGGGCACCGAGCGGGTGGAGTCGGGAGCCGCAGAGCGGTGGAGGCGGATTTCCTGGACCCGGCTCTCTGGAGCTACCATGGCGTTTGGGAAGAGTCATCGGGATCCCTACGCGACCTCCGTGGGCCACCTCATAGGTAAGGAGGCTTTGGGGGCCGGGAAACCTTTTCTCGCTTTACTCCATTCTCGGCGTGCGAAGGACCAAGTTAGTCCAAGTTTGAGGAAATTCTTCCCTCACCCCCGCCCCCCGTAACTTTCCCAGGGCATCCGCATTCTACCCGCCGCCCTCCTAGACAATTCTGTCTTGTCGACTCTTCCCAGAACCTGCTCCTTAAAATTTACCTCCTTGTGATGCCTCCTTGGGAGAGAAACCAAACAGGTGAAGCGCCGGATTCAGGAGTGGAGTTTGGGCCTCTACAAGGAGAGACCAGAAACTTCTCTGCCAGGGAAAGGTTGTTCACAAAGTGCGTTTCTCGCGGGCCCAATATTGTTACATCCGTTTTACAGGTGTGGAAAAGGAGGCTCAGGAGGTCAGGTGATGCGACATCTCTGTGAAGGCCAAGTCACTCCAAACCAGTTATCTGGCCCCAAGCTCATACAACCTGAATTGCTTTTCTCAGTAAACAAAGAGCATAAATATGTTCAGCTGTGGAATGAAGGGAGCGCGGAGAGGTCTGGGGGGGGGTCACAGGATGGCTACGGAGGCCACTAGGGACCATCAGGCATCTGCCTCACTGTTTTCTCCTTGGCTCTCCTCTGCAGAAGCAGAAGCCTGTGACTGTACTGTTTTACCGGCACCAGCCCGGTTCTCTTGCTTCTCTCTAGTTCCTCCCTTAGGAACTGGGTGTGGTGCGAGTGCATATTAATGACATGGTGTCGGGAACTTAGTGGGGTGATGAAATCATGAGAACTTGGTAGTTAAAGTAAGGAGGCACAGATTTGAAGAGTTTTGCTCCCAGCTCAATTAACCGCAGTGTGACACTGAATGTGCCACCTAACCTGAATCTTAGTTTCCACGTCTTTATAAGAGGGCTAAATTAACTATCATACAGGATTTGTTTGAAGAGGAAAAGCTTTCTAAATTGTTGATGGCTATACCCGTGTTAATATTGCATATTAAAAAGAGGCCTGAGTAGAAAAATAATCAGACGGGTATCTTCATAGGCAAAAGTAACTTCAGCAATAAAACAAACAAAAAGGCCCATTACTCTCCATTTGATTCCAACTCATGGCGACCCCACGTGTGCAGAGTAGACTGTACTCCATAACCTTTCGCCTTTTTTCTGAGACTACTGTGGGTTCGAACCCTGTAGTGGACCACTTAAGCAGGCATTTGCGTCATGCAAGGACGCAAATTTCAGCAGTACTTCGGATGAATGCTTTAACGTTTTAAACATTTATTGACTCCCAACTACGTGCCTGGACCTGGACTAGGCATTGGTGAGGCCAAGGTAAGACATGGTCTCAAACCTCAGGGAACGCACAGACTTGTAGGGAAGACACACACAATATTGTAGTAACGCCAGTACAGTACCTTTGCAATACAAGAAAAATATAAAGTGCACAAAACTTAGAAGAGGGATATATTAACTCTGCCATGGCTTTCAAAGGGTGAATGGTTTTCTAGGATGTTAGGAGGAAGAACAAGGAATGGGGAGGGAACAACTGGCAGAAGGAACAAGAGCTTGTGCCTAACAACTTGAAGTTGGTCAGCATTGTCCATTCAATGCCAAATTCAGATAGCTCTTTTCCTAGATGGGAATTAGGCTAAGCTTTGGGGTTTCCGCAACCAGGCACTTATTCTTTCTTCCTGTTCATTATCCTTTTTAATTCTTTTGTCTTCTTAACTGCCACCCCCCAGCATCTTGTGTTTTCATGATGAGGGGTGTTTCCTCTCTTACAGGAAGATGTTAAAGTGGTTCATATTGAGTGTTCTATTACCTTTCCCAGAGAGCATTTTGTATTCTTAAAGAAAATGTCTGGAGAAAGATAGCCAATTATTTAGTGATGAGGCCCAGGTACAGGACAACATTGGTTAGTACAAGTGCTGAGAGTGACCTTGCTCTACTGCAGAAAGACACAGGCAAACTCAGTAATTCTGATATTTTTCTCTCTCATGCTCCGCCCCCCGTCTGTCCCACAGAATAAATGATTAAAACAAACAAACAAAAAAACACGGGGATCAAACAAACATAGGTTTGAATCCTCTTTCTACCTTGTACTAGGCTTAGTACCTACGTTGTATTGTGTAATTTCCTTAACCTCTGAACTCTGTTTCACCATGTCTAACAGAGGGTTAAATGAGATTGCCTAAGATAAAAATATTTAGCATTGTGCAGTTCACTTTGTAGGTAGATGTTCAAAAAGCCATGGTTTCTTTCTCTGAAAGAGCTTGCAGATGGAGATTCAGCCAGCCTGTCCTGGCCCTGAGGTCTTTGTTGGTCCCACAGTCTTTATTAATAGGTCACTCATTACTGTTGGAACAGCAGCACTCTGAACTTGAGTTCTCATTGATGCCTGAATTTACTGGGAATTGTTCATGGGAGGAAAAAAAAAAGTCACTTTGCCCTCTGCTCCTATGAACTTAATAGTTCCTGCTGGTTAACCCCATGCAGGTTATTTCAGGAAGACCAGGCATTTTTTATTCTGTTGTAGCTCAGTCTCAACACAACAGCTTTTTCTTTGCAGAAAAGGCTACATTTGCTGGAGTTCAGACTGAGGACTGGGGCCAGTTCATGCACATCTGTGATATAATCAACACTGTCCAGGATGGGTGAGTACAGTGTGTTGTTCATACGCTTGCCTCTGATAAGAAGCATGAGAACCACAGAGCATTTTCACTTGCAAACTCTGATTTTCTTGTTGTGTGTTTTCATCATCCCCAAGGGGCATCATCTGTCTTTCAAAAACATGTCAGGTTGAAATGTCCGGGCAGCTGCTTGTTTCAGCATGTGGAATATCTGAGAATCCATTATAATCGTTCTCTACTTCTCTTTGCCTTTACCTTAAGAGTTTCAAATTTTGTCTCTGTGAGACTCAGATTTCTTGTTTTTTAAAGAGTATAAATAAATAAATAAATAGTTTCCTGCTTTAGGAATTCTTTTGGTTCCGATTTCAAGTATTTTATGTTAATGTAACTGAAAAATATTATCAAGAAACTAGTTGACTTCCTGGTGGTGACTGGTCTCTGGGCAATTATCATTAGCCAGGAAATAAGCTAGCAGTCTTTTTTTCCTCTCCCTGTCACAAGACAATTTTTTTTTCTTCAGAATGCCAGTTTACTGGTGTTCATG